CCGAAGAATCATTTATACTTGAATCTTGTCAAACGACAAAAAAAAATAAATCCAGATGTGATCCTTTACGGTTTTGTTCTCAGAGCTGATAGCTCTCAATCTGAGAGTAGTTAAGCCTGATTACATTTTTCCAAAAAGCCAAGTAAGACTAGTGTCTAAGTAGCAAGAACGATTCAAAGTGTAGCTAACATCTACAATGACAAATGCTGGATGCAGTTTTGCCCGAGAGAGTGCAGTTAACATTGAGGGAGGGAAAGAAAATATTTCACACAGACTTAAGGGAGAAAAACATTCCCCTAAATGAAAACAAGTTCGAAAGATGAGCTCATAGGGACTCCTGCCAGCAAACTACAGGTTTCAAACTGACTCAATGAGATCAGCCACTGATGTGTGATAGCGACATATAATTAGTCTGAAAATTGTCCTTACAGTTGCAGCTTTCGCTAAAAAACCCTGAAACGCAGCAGGACAGTAGCCTACCCTCTTTAAAGATACGGTTCTCAACTGGTCAGAATCACTGAATAGTCATGTAAATACTGAGCATGTTTGAGAACATGTGCAACATATTTCAGGCAGTAACATACCATCTGGCATCTAACTGGCATGACTCAACAGATTAATGTGACTTCAGAGATTACTCACATGATACTAATTACTATATGCTGTAAGCGGTTTGAGGTTTAAACAGGGTAACATGCATACTCTATATTCAGAAGAGTCACAGAGTGTTACTTGTTCTTTTGAAAAATCACACTAATGGATGTCACAAAGAGAAAAAAAGGTGGGCAAAAGAAATCAACATCTCCCTGTTTCTTTCAAGCTATTGTTTACTTAGCATGTTTAAAGACCTGAGACGAATCCCCCAGGGACTATAAATAAAGTTCTTTGCTCCCTCATTTTCAATCCTACTTACTCAAATGAATTGCTCTGCTAATGATTACGTTAGGAATCATTATATGTATGCATATATGTAACGATAATTCAGGTGATAGGATCTAACCTGGACAGCGCAGCGAAAAACTTTCGTTAGGAACTAGATTTAAAATCACACAGATCAACTGGAAAATTCAGGGCGCACCCTTCTCAGTCAGTGTATGCTGATCGGTATCGGCTCATGCTCTTCCCTCCTCTCTGCCTTACTGCTGCCCCAAGTTGTAGGTTCCCACTGCTGGGTTTGAGCTATCACTCCTGCTTGCATGACTACACAGGCAGCCAGAACAGAGGGCCTCTCAAGCTGACATTGAGCCCCACCAGAAAGGCAAAGACGAGCTGTCAGCCAGTCCCGATCAAGCTGAAGTTATGGCTCTACCAGCACCAGGGAAGGAGCAGAAGTCAGAAGTTAGCAGCACTGCCACCCTCTTTCTGGTGTCAGCATGAATATATATTAGCTGAAAGCTGCTATAGACCAACTTCCTTAGCTAATGGGACGAGGACACAGACTGCAGCCAGGGAAATTCAGATTAGATACTCCAAAAAGTCCTTTGCAGTGAGGATGGTCAGACACTGGAACAACTTGTCCAGAAAGGCTGTGGAGTCTCCTTCCTTGGAGATACTCAAAACTCGACTGCACAAGGCCTCGAGTAACTTCATCAGTCTTTGACGTTAGCCCTGTTTTGAGCAGGGGGTTGAAACAGAAGATCTCCAGAGGTCCCTTCCAACCGAAATTATTCTGTAATATTATGATTGTGACAATGTAGAGAACAAGAGAGCTGAGACAGACAGACAGAGACAGAAACAGACAGAGAGCTGAGACCTTGTGGCTTGATCATAACACTGCACAGATATAATGGGACATTACTGAGACATAAAACGGCTTGCCGTCAGACTTTTTTCACAGACAGAACTTCTGAGGCACCAGTGGCCATATCCAAGCAAGGTCTTTGGCACTGCTGTGACTATGGCATGCGGCAGGATGGGCAAAGGGCAGCTTTTCGGCTACCTTAAAATGCTCATGCCACTATGGTCTCACTTTTGTGAAGCCAGCTATCCACGTGAATTCGTAATTGCGTACTCGATACCTCGTCATCTTTATCACTCACGAGGAGAGTGATAACTCAGAACAGGATCCAGAAAAACCAGCACGCTGAGCAGGAAGCCACCTAAATAACAGCCAAGAAACTATTCTGAGGACAAAGTTGTAAATCCTGAATTCTGGGCTTCTCTGAGATTTAGGTGTCTTTTTAGGTGTCATTGCCAGAAGCTCCTTCCTGTGCTGTGACTGCAATCTGCTCATGAAGTAAGCTGATCAGGCTCTTTCTCAAGATTTTTTAAAAAACTGAAAGATATTAAAGGACTAAGAAAGAGGTAGAAATTTTCCCTTCTGATACAAATATGCCAGGTTCAAATTTCACCTCTCCCTAAAAGGATTCAAATCCATATCCTCCCGCTTTCAAAAGACTACTGCAACCATCGAGATTACCCTGGTTTGGATGGATTTTGCTACTGAAAATGTCCCACTTCATAACAAATAATAATAATACAGAGAAAAAGGGAAAAGAGAGAGAAAACATGATGATTAGTAATTCCAGATGATCACCTGGGCAGAGGAAGCCCTCGTTTACTGCATTCTAATCCAGTCATGTAAAATGCACAAGAAGCAGCCCTGCAAATAGAGGCTAAAACTGATGTTTTCCCCTGGATTTGTGTCTCACAGTTTGAGTCTTTGCTGCCTAATGAAATCTGAGGTCTGAACAAAGCTTGTCCCTGGGGCATTTCTGACATCACTCTCTTGTGTTGGTTCTTTGATGTCGTATAAGCGTGAGCTCACGCCACATTCTTTCCTGCAGTGCAGGCATTGTTAAGGTCTTTCTCCTCTTCTCAGTCACCCTCTTCATTAAACTGGAGGAACTTCTTATTCTAGAGGCCCCTATTGCTTTGTCAGATTTGGCTGAATGTGGTTGAGGGGTTCAGTGTTATTCACCAACAGAGGACAGATGGAGGGATGGATAAACACAGACAGTCTCATCTTACAAGCCTTCTTTTCACGGAAAGCCAGGCTCAAGAGCAGCCTTTGGAACAGGGACCAGTCTGGCGCTCCCTCCTACTAGTTCTGTACCCTCACCGCTCAACTAGTCTCTTGTTTCTGCTCAGTGAATAGCAGAGCACTCCATGTGAAAGAGTACAGCCTTTATAGGAAGGAATGAGAATGTCACCCTCTTTCCCCCTCAACTGTCTCTCCATGCTACTGGCAGACTTGGTTGGAGCTAATGTGGGTTTGAATCTCATTAGATATCGGTGAGAAAGGGAGCCTCTCTCCAACCTTTGAAGGAAGGCTTCAACCAAGAACTGTTTAAAATAAGCAGCACTGCACCTACATTTCTGTGGTACTTGATCTCCTAGGAGGCATTCATGATTCCACAGTCACTTCAGAACAGCCACTGGTTTCCTACACTTCTCTCTTTCCTTTTCTGGCACAAGAGTCTGAATACCACTGTGGAACTGAGCTAGGTTAAATCTAGCCTTTATGCTTTTCACCAGATTCTTTTGAGTTCAGATCAGTTCCCCAGTTAATTTCCAACACTTGGGCCATCTCAAGGGACAACTGTATGGAAGAGAGCGCTGGATTGGCTGGAGGTGATGAAAAGACAAGACTGCATCATTTGACTCCAGTGGTGGGTTATACGCCGACGTGAAGTGACAATGAAATTGCGGCCTGAATTAAAGCACTGAGAGGAAAGAAAAGGATACCTAGATTACGGATCTCAGGTTTAGAGGCTGTAGTGCTAGCTAAGTCAAAACTGAAACATTGCTAGACAAATGACAGAGGCATCTCCAGGCAAGGTGGTAGCTGTGCTGGGGCTTTACATATTGTATTTAGAATTGGTTGTCTCCATCGCCCTTTGGAGCTGACCGTGAATGAAGAACTTTACTACAGTCACTAAACATAAAATGTCTTCAGATTCAGAGGAAACTCCAGGATGATAAAAGACAATTATGCTTCACCTTTTAAGACTTCTGAACCATATACTTTCTTTTTGTACAATATCATCACCAGAACCTTCTTCTGCATTTATTAAACAAGTATCTCAGGTGAATTAAAACAGATATTAAAAAATAATGAGTGCAACTAAATATATATTTTCAGTTAGCAGTTAAACCAGTTGCCTGACTCCAACTCTTTGGACTTCTGTTGGGTTGGCTTAGGAAGTAAAAGTTCCTTTTTGTTGTGCTGCCCCTGGGAAAAATAACTGGATCCTTCGTCTGACCTGTCTGGAATTTATTGAGTCTGTCTCAGGAAGCCCTACTGACCCTACAAAAGTAATTCCTAGCTTGCGCCTTCAGTTCTGGTTCTGTTGCCCTAGTTTACGTGCCCTGGATTTCAAGTTCTGTAAGGCTGACTTGTTTCTTCAGGTGAATTAGTTTCTCAGATCTCATCCAAAACAAACAAATTTTTCAATTACAGGCACACTTACCATATTGCCCTGGGTATAGCAACAGTTAACTACGGAATAGCTAGGTTTTTTTTAGAAAAAAGATTTGAAAAGCAAAGCTTAAGCCAGCTGTAGTTCATCACTGTATCGAGCCACATTAGCTTGGGGCTCATGTTTGCAGTATTATTTAAATGACTGTTCTGAACTGAAGGCTTGCTTCAGTGCCAGTATTTAGAGTGCATATGCAGCTAGAAGCTCATAATAACGTGTTTTCTTCAAACATCTGCTAAAAAGTCTGTGTTACGGTAGGAACAGTAAGATCTCAGCAACAATTTATTGACAAATTGAGGCTTTAAGTGATAACAATTAGTTGAGAGAATCTGATGTATTTCTGGCATTGTTACTTACGTTGCTTGCTAATTCCAACTTCCAAGTTTTATCCAAAATACCGGGAACAAAATGTTATGAGAAATGATACTAATATGAGTCTGATTTTCAGATATCATGGAAACCAGAACTTTAAAATTAACAGGTATTGCAGGTGCTACACACATGTGAAAATTAAAGCCTACTTCTTTTCAGATGTGATGGCAGCTTTTACATCCTGGACACAATACCTTTCACGCGAATAATAAAATGCTGGCTTTACTCTGGGATAATGTACATATGTGGATCTTAAACAGGAGAGCAGTGCAAAGGGCTGACTGAAGACTAAACATTGCTTGGACTGAATATAATTTTGCTGACCTTCCATAGTAGATTCTTCTATCAAATCTCTCCTCCCAAAGAGAAAGCCATTTAATACTTCACCCGGTGGTGCATTTTCTTTTCTGTGAGCTGTATTTGTTATTCATCAATTGTCTTCCTGTCTTTTCTTCTGAAACCTATTCCCAACCACTGGGTCCTTTATAGCTTGCCTGAATGGTAAAGTATTATACAAGTTTTAAAACTCATGTTTATCAGTCTGCTCAGCTCATTTTTTCTTGTTTGTAACTTTCTTCTCTGGAAATTGATCACTTAATGCAAATGCCCTGAAATAACTGTAGGGTTATTAAACAGTCATCTGCATCCACACCCATTCCCATGCTGAAACGATTCCTTAAAGCATGCTCCAAAACGCAAACATGTAAACAAGGAAATCACAAAGAAGAAAAAAAGAGGTGGATCTCCATGGTACTGTGGTCCGTATTTAAGAGAAACCTATCGAACAACTGAGCATTCAGAGTAACTTACATACCAAGCCCTGTCTCTTTCACTGTCTGTACCTGAGCTGTGTTCTTAGACAGCAGTTTCTGCCACTAGCAGTCTATGTTAAGGACTTCCCATAGGACAGAAGGATGCTTAGCAATGAACGTTTATATAACACAATTTCCCCTTATGAGGAAAATCAAAAGGCTAATGAAGACAATGGAATGACTTGCTGCATAGACTTTAGTGGTCTTTGGAGCAGGCACAAATGGACTGTACTGACTTTAACTAGATCAATGTTTCTCAAACTTTTTTTTAAAGACTAACCACCTTTTGGCTCACCTGCCTTTCTTTGACTCCTGTCTTGTCTCAGTCTCCCCAAGTCAGAGAAGTGAGACCCGGCTGTAAGTACTGACTACAAGTCTTAACCCCACCTTGGAAGAAATGATCTGCTACCTAGTACTGCTGCTGCCTAACATTTTGCAACCTCCCAGCCTCCCTACCCCCATGAATTTTTTAACGCCCTTGATAATGTGGCACAAAACAGAGAAACACTGATTTAGACGAGAGGTTCGTAGAGAGAGGGTTGGTCACATGGTGCCGGTCCTTTCTCTTTCCTCTCCCTCCCTCTGCTGAGAAACTAGCTTTTATTAAAATGTAACATCAAACATACTGTTCCCTAGCATTGCTTCCCTAGGCAACCAGGTCTCTCAAAAGTGTGAAGTGACCAGAAACAGGAAGGAAAGTGCTCCATGCAGTAGCCAAGGTGGAAGGTGATCCACTAAGGTGCAAGACAATCTATTAAAACAAACCAATCTATCTACAGTCTATTGTAGTGACCAAACTACCCACAATTTCATAAAAAGTGACCAGTTCTGTAACTAAGAATTATCCTGCACTGGTGTGGTTGCCCGTTCTCGCGTCCCAGTCTGAAAGCATTCCTGGGGTACCCTTGCCTTCCTGATGGCTTTGCCCCCCTCAGTTAAGAAAACAAAAGGATGTTGTTAAATTAAGTAGTCAATGCACACACTCATTAGTTTGTTATCAGCTGCAGGACTTAATTAGTATATGCACACATTAGCAACTAAACAGACAGGGGGCTGACTTCCATGGTAGCAGTAAAACCTGCGTAACCTACCCCCTCAGCCACTGCCATCAGCCCTTCCCCCCGCCCAGGGAGGTAGAGCTGCTGGCTGAAGACTTCTTCAGTTCTATTTTCATAGATTGAGTCTCGGCACGAGGCTCGAATTTTGTCATATTTCCTGCTCCTGGGGCTGCCACTACTGGCTTTCCTGCTTTCATACCTTTTGACACAGGAATGCGGGTGGGTGTAGGTCTCGAGGATGACCCATCCTGTCCTGTCTGCAAAAGAGAGAGAGAAAGAGAGAGAAAGAAAGAAATGACATGAGCTGATGACTTTTTCTTCTCATATATGTTCATCTTACACATTTTATTGGATCACAAGCAACAGTGTCCCAAATCACTCGCGTTAACAAATCAATGTTCGCATCTGGAACCTGGGAGCAGCAAATCCTGCTAGAGTGGCAAATACTGCTAGAGTAGGGCCCAAGGTACAAAGTCAGAATCAAACTAGTTTTTCAGAACTGAGGTCCAGTGTTTCAGATCAAGATGCCATAAGGATGGGAACCCTGCAAAACTCCACAGCACAACACAATGCAGAACTGCATCAGAGGCTACCAAGACTCTAAGCTGCTGGATGCACATTAGTATTATGCACAGCGTTAGCATGGGCCTTGGAAACAGTACAGCCATATGAGACATTTAATGCTGAACCCAGACTAACTGCCATACTTTTAGACCTGTTGCAAGATTTCTCAGCAGTGTAGGCAAAATTGAACTATGCTTCCCCAAGGATGTTGGACCATGACTGGGGCCATGACTTATTTCTGCACTAGGAAATACAGGTGTAGAGAGGGTGAGCAGGGCTGGAACAGAGAGACAGGGCAAAGATGTGGGTTTCCTTTTCCTGTTGCTGTGAGAGGAAGGGATGTGCAAACCGGTGCTGCTGTGGTGGAGAGCTCACCCCTTTGAGCAGAAGCGACAAGTCGATGAACTCCAGCATAGGTAAAAGAGGCAGCCTAACCTTCCAGGGATACCTCAAGGCAGGGTGGAATTGGGCATTTTACTCACTCTGCCAACCTGCTGCCCACCTAGCATGCTCATCCTCAAGTCTGGGGATTTCAGGAAAAAAAAATGGCCTGGGGCAACCTTTGATATTTTATTCTCCTGGATGGAATACAGTTGAGCACCCCTGCCCTCTGCACAGGGCTGGCAGACACAGCACAGCACCTACCAGGGAACTGGGCCCTTCTGGAGTGCCAGCTGGAGGCCAGGCACGCTGTCCTACAGCCTTGAAAAGGGCAATTAATACATATGTTTAGGCAACTGAATCCCACTCTGTAACCATACAAGCAGCATTTAGACAGAACAAGATTTAAAAGGCTAACTGGTCTTTTCTGCCTCCATGTTGGCCAAATAACATTACACGTACTCAGCAAGGCCAAAACTGGAAGTTACCCTTTACAGACCACCACATAAAAAGAATACTTACAGCCATAACACCTGGGAGAGGAAAATGTGTTTTGCCTTCTGCAGTATTCAGTATAGACAAAAATGTTCATAGTGACAACCTCAGTGTCTCAGCTGAATTGCAAACGTGAGTTGTTTTCTGTTCAGATAATTAGTGAAGTCTTCAATCTCACAGAAGAGAACAACCTTCATAGGATGCTGAAATCCCAGTGAGACCTATCTTCTAAAAGACTAAATTCTGCAGTTTATCACATACCAACAAAATAAAACTAAACGACTGAAATAGATTGGATTAGGGGACTGTGTTGATTGTAACGCATATTTGCGCATTTACTTAAAAATGCTTTTAAAAAAAGCTCCACGAACAATTTCCTCTTTCTCTCAAAGGATTTCCAGCCAGTAGTAGCATCAGAGCCTTCTCTCTGTATCCTGAGTACTCAAATGAAAAGCATTCCTCAGTCTTCTAAGAACAGTTCAAAATCCCATGTGTACACACACACAGACACAAAATCACAATTGGAAAACTTGAATGCCGTCTGCCTGGCAGGAAGGAAGTGATTTTCAATAACTAAAGGCAACATTTACAATAGCAGTCTAAAGGCTAATATGGAACTCACATGTAGATGTCAAAACAAGTTAGGACCATACAATTCTGTATGGCAAAACATGCAAATGCATTCCATCAGCCTTGGAAAATATGTCAACATCCCGTGGAACCCAAATGACAAACATCTTGTGCTCCCTGAAAGCGCTCCACAGTATGTAAACATCAGGCAATCAGATGAAGTAGCTGGAATCTCAAGCATTCCTTGAGCTTTATTTGCATGTAAATTATTAACTAAGGATTTGGGTACCTTTAAGTTACTCATTTCAAGCCTAAATCTCTCAAAATCACTTTGCAAAGAACCCTAACTTGCTTGAAATTTCTTAGTTTCTTCATTACAGCATACTAATATGTTGATCATATGGAAGCTAATGCCTGCTTCACATACAGCTGCAAGAACATTTTGTGTTTGCTAAGTGAAGAGAAATTGCACAAAGATGGCTCTTCAGCAAGCAGTCCCCTCACATAGGCAGGCAAAGGACACTCTGTGGTACACTTCGCTAACGCCAGTGGCAGAGAACCCACGTAACTGTCTCTTGGTGATTTCTTGCAAAAAACAAACTCAAAGCAACCCTTTTGCCCTGTCTGTCTGTAGGCTGCTATCTTTTCTTCTGGTTGATACAGGACTACACCTCCAGCCAGAAT